TTGAATTAATATTGAATTTGGATAATTGAATAAAAAATATATATTATAAATTGTCAATTCGATAGGATAATGTAAATAGTATTGGAAAATTTACATTTTATTTGTAAATTTTATACTGTAAAAAACAAGAGTAAATTATTGATAAATTTATTTTTATAAATTAATTAAAATCAATTAACTTGAATATTTGTCGTTTATACATATAAAGTTATTTTTAATTAAATTCTCAGTTTATTTGCAAATTATTTGATTTTAATAAAAAAGATGAACGCACTAATTATCGACTAACTTATATTATTTTTATATAAATTATAGTTAATATCGATTAACTGAATATTTGCGGTTTTATATATTGCTTTTTGTTGAAATTTTTGTATTTTAACTAGAAATTGAAGAACTATACGGAAATGGAAGCGAAATGTAAAACTTTTGTTTATTTTTATTATATAAATAAATGGCAAATTAAATTTTTAAAAATTTTGCAATTTAAAACAGTGAAAGTTTTTGCTATTCTAGAAAAACATATCGCTGTTCCAGATAAAGATTTTTTTCCTTTTAAATCAAGGTATTTTACATATATTTTAATGTTTAAAATTTTGAATTTTTTTCTTAATTCTGCTTTGTCTTTCACATTGTCCTCTGAAAACAAAATTTTTTTCCTTTACATTAATAATATATATAAAAAAAATAAATAAGTAGTATAAAAATTCTTATTGAAGATTTTTTCTTTCAAAGAAGTATGTCAAATGTTTTGGTTTTTCTTTTTTGTTTAAGAATTTCTCTTCAGTAGTATAAGAGGATTAATCTCAAAGTTTGAGCTTTTATATATAAGTATATTTTATTTATCGTTTCTCAAAAGTTGAAAATAGTTTGCAAAAATTGAGAGCGCGTTTAACTATGTAAAATGAAAAATCACAATAATTATTAATAGACAAAAACCTAGAAACTATATGATTATCTATGTTTACAACATAATGATTAAAAGTGGAAATAAAAACAATTTTTTTTTTTTTTGCTATTTATGGAAATGAGTGACACGGTTTTGCACCTATTCAAGTCTGGAGGTCACCAGGCGAGACTGGTGGGGAAAGAGAGCCAAGAGAAATAATAATTGTAATAGGAAAGGTGGTAACTATAAGAGGAAAAGGGAAAGTGAGAATAAAATGAAAAAGATAAAGGAATAAGATAGGGAAAAAAATAAAAAAGAGAATAAGAAAGAGAAAGGAAGAAACTTTGGTTGAGTCAAAAGAGAAAAAAAAATGAAGAGAAAAGAAGAAGGTAGCTCTGTAGCTTTATGCGGCATGCGCACGTTGGTACCTGTCTACATAGCTACATCCCCGCAGTCCCAGAACTTCGATCAATACCCCATCCACTCTCGTTGAAACAAAATTGTCGCTAAACCGAAATAACGATGCCGATTTCGTCATATCACCTCTCTCTCTCTCTCTCTCTCTCTCTCTCTCTCTCTCTCTCTCTCTCTCTCTCTCTCTTCTCTCTCTCTCTCTCTCTCTCTCTCTCTCTCTCTCTCTCTCTCTCTCTCTCTCTCTCTCTCTCTCTCTCTCTCTCTCTCTCTCTCTCTCTCTCTCTCTCTCTCTCTCTCTCTCTCTTCTCTGATGACATATGCTGCATTTTCATACGTCACTATGCTATATAAAACCTCTCCTTCAATTTTTCCGGGTATTTGACCCTTTGACATGCAAATCTAAAGACGAGACAGAATGTTACATATGTGAAAATCGATACACGCACGTGGTTTTTTCACTGAACATTATATAGAAAACTAACTAAATGTGATAAAAAAAAAAAAAAAAATTGAGACTTGAAGAAAAAAGAATCGCTACAATTGAAACAAGGAGGGGGTCCTTTATGTTTATTTCATAAACATTTTACTTTCTCATTGTGTGAAGCAAAAAATTTGCTTCCTCGTGGAGGAAGCTATGAATTTCTCCAATTCGATTGATTGATTTAAAAAATTTCGAGTTGAAAACTGTTTTAAATTAATTAAATTTTTTGAAAAATTAAGAAAATTTTAATTAATTTTGGGTGTAACATATACTTTATATATATATACATATCGATTCGTTTCAATGCAAGGAATACAATTATTATATTTATTAACTTGAATTTTAAAAAAACACAAATTTTTTTTATCTAAAATATGAATTTTTGATTTTTCAATTTTTATTAATTCTCAAATTTTAAATCAAATCTATACTTTATATATACCAACCAATTCGTTTCAATGCAGGGAATAAAATTATTTCATATATAAACATGAATTTAAATAAACACAACATTTTTTAGTATAATGTGAATTTTTGATTTTTTAACTTTCATTAATATAAGACGATTATATTATATATTACCTTAAATTTTTCGATTTAAAAATGTTTTCAATTAAAAAAAAATTTTTGGAAAAAAGACGATAACATTTTTTTTTTTTGGGTATTTTTAAAAATCCTCTCGTCATTTTTGAGAGATTAATGTGTTAAATAAGCCTACAAAATTTTATTCAAATCCATTAAAACCTGTTAAAGATATCGTGTTCACAAAAACGATCCACACACACATACACACACACAAACACACTCATACATAAAACCGGACAATTGATCAGGATCTCATATAACATGTTTTTATATATAGAGGAAAATTTGTTTTCACCATTTTTAAAAATTTTATAAACGAAAGGACTACAAAGTTTCCTCCACGAGGAAGCAAAATAATAATACCTTCAGAAAACTAGTTTTAAACAATTATTTTTCTAAAAAAAAATGATTTTAAACAACTGTTTATTTTCTAAATTATGGTCGATATAGGTCAATCTAATTTTAACAAACGATTAAATTTTATTTTTCTAGATATAAATTTAAGGTTATGTGGGAACCTCCCACGTGACCTAGTATGGGAAAATGTGTTTTGGTAGTATACGTTTCACTCTAAAATGAGAAAAGATTTTTGTCTAAAATTTTGAGAGATGATACATTAGGGTATAAAGAATCTCGCTTTTCTCCGAAAAATACATAATTTTGAGAAAAATTATTAAAAAATGAAGTTTAAAAAGTGGCATTTTTAAACGAAATGGAAAACAAAGATAGCGGCGCATACACAGACGTTGCTTGAGTTTGTCAGTGATCCAGTAAACAGCGCCAATTCGAGCGAGTGGCCGCTGAATGAACTATGATATCCCAACAAAAAATTTCAGTATTATACCAGAGTTCACTATTGGCGCAGTACTGGTATTTTCATCGTATCAGTACTGGTGCAGTACCACCCATCCAGTACTGGCAAACCAGTACAGAACCGATATTGAGCCAGTACTGGCCCAAATAGATTTTCTTTTTGATTAATACTGGTTTACAAAAAGTTCTAGAGTGAACCTGATGAATCTTTTTGTTTAAATATTTTGTTTATAAAAATTTTTTTACTTTGATTTTATTTTTGAAAATTAAAAGGTATTTTATTTTGCTTTTTTGTGGGTAAAATTATTTAAACAAAAAGTTTCCTGAGACTAATTCTAAAACATTTTGCAAGTTTTTTTTTATTGTTTTCAGATATGCAATATACCAAAAAAAATTTTAAACGATCAAACTAAAAATAAATAAAATTTTTTATAAAAAAAAATTAATAATTTTTAAAATTAAAATTTATATGTAAAAATTTTCTTGACACTTGTTAAAAATCAAAAAACAACTTTTATTTTCTTAAAAAAGTTTTTCAAAAATTTATTTTGATGCAAATAATTAAAGTGAATAATAAAATAATTAAATAGCTAATTGTATGATTATATACATTATAATTATTTTATAAACATTTTTATTTTTACTGAACTGTTTTTATATATTATAAAAACTTTGGTTTTATAATAAACATATTTTTATATTTATTTTTTGAATTTTTAAAATAATAATTTGCAATATATTTTATACTTAATAAAAAATAAAAACTCTTGGTGTTTTCGATTTTATATATATTAATAAAATATTAATTAGTTAGTTGACTAATTTAATTAATATTTAATTTGTGTTGGGTTACTAAAAATTTCACACATTTTTTCGTAATTACAAAACTACCAGTACTCAGCCAGTACTGGTGCCAACTCTGGCAGCCAATACTGGTAAAATGTTATCATCCCAAAGTTACGCCAACTCTGGCGCCAATGCTGGGTGCCAGTACTGCGCCATTAGTAAATTTTTGATTGGGATAATACATTATTTTACTATTTATTGCTTTATTTTTATTTTTTTTACGTTAAGTTATAGTAAATGAGTAGAACAGCGAGATTCCTTGTACCAAACAAAATCATTTCTCCAAAATTTTAACCCAAAATCATTGTTTATTTCAGAGTAAGTTTCAAACCACAAAAAAAACGTCCTTTGCCCACATACCCTTAAAATAACATGCTTTTAAGTATAAATCAAAATGTCATATATTAATCACTTTTATAGTTCCTTTTAAAATTTTATATTTCTCTAAACGACACAATGTTAATATTCGAAAATTTAGAAGTACTAATAAAAGCTTTTTAGAAGTAAAATGTAGCTAGACAGTAACTAGATAGTAGTAACTATAGATAAGGAAATTTTTTCTTGTCATGATAATAATTGTTCAGAATTATTCTTTATTTTCAAATCGTACCACAGTGTATACCATGATAAAGTTCCGAGAATCTAAATTAACGAAATTTGAAAATAGAAAAATCCGCAATCATGAAGAATCGAACCCCGGACCTTGTTGTTGTAAATCCAGTAGTGAAGCCACTCAACTATCTCACTTGTTAGGAACTAAATATGTGTGACAAGATTGCATCAGGCTTACTTGACTATTGTCAAATATTTATTTGTATTAAATCATTATTATTTGAATCAATTAAATAATATTTGTTTTAAATACAGAAATTTAAATTATATTGAAAAAGTTAATTTTTTTTCAGTAATGATAAATTTATTTAAAAAAAAAAAAAATATTTTGTATACAAAATTTTATAATACAACCAAAAATATGTTTTTAAATGGACAAATTTTATTTGAGATAACAAATTAACCGAAGACACTTGTTTCTTTTAATTCAATGAAGTAATTCAATTATCTGCACTCTCCATATCTCCAGCCAGATTCTTTGTGACAATATCCTGAGTCACAATTGCCCATACTTCCATCAGGTTGACATTGTCCATGTTTAACAATAGCCATAGCATTAGGAGCCATCAACATAATAATTGCGACAATCAACATTATCAATAGTCCGGAAAATTTGATGCTAGCCATTTTGATTTGTGTTTCTTTAAAATTTAAATTTAAAAAAAATGATTATAATTTCCGTTACTTTTTTGTTCGAGACGCATGATTATGTTCTAAAAATCATTAGTTAGAATTTTTATTTTATATGGAATTTCATTTGTCATCATTATTTTTGAGCCGAATTTTTATTTGTCATAATTTTTATTTGCTCGAATTTTCATTTAACATAATAGGCATTTTAAAGAATTTTTATTGGGTAGAATTTCATTACATAAAATTTTCTTTCAGATAAATTTCCATTTGTTCGAATTATTATTTGACATAATTTCCATATAACCGATTTTTCATACTACAGAATTTTTTCTCTACCGAAAAATCATTTAACATAATTTCTAATTGATAGGAATTTTCATTTGTCCGAAATTGGAAATAGAATAACAAATAATCGACAGTATAAGATTTCCGCGCAATTTTTAAAATCAACCAATTACAATTTTATATAGATAATTTTCGATTGATTGATTTTAAAAATTGCACCGAAATTTTTCTGTCGACTGTTTTTTCGGTCATTTGTAATTTCGGACAAATAAAAATTTTATGTAATGAAATTCTATTAAATGAAAATTCTAATAATCGAATTTTAGAACTTATTCATGCATTGCGTTTTAAATATACATAAATAATTGGTTTAAATAAAATTTCTTTGATACAAATAAAAATTATTTGATATACAAATAAATATTTATTTAATAATAATATTATAATAATAATATTTAATTTTAATATTAATATTAATAATAAATTAATTTTAATATTTTAATATTTAATAATAATATTAATAATAATTAATAATAATATTTATTGAAATTAAATAAATTTTTATATATTTGATAGTAGTGTTAGATACTTACAAGAACTGTTGAACAATGGTTCAAGAGAATTGGAATAGAAATGAGTAAATTTTGCAAAATGCTTCGACTTTTTATACTAAGAGAATAATGTAAAAAAAATCATTTGTCTTAAGGAAATGCTATTAATTTAAAAATGATTTTAATCACACTATATTAGCATATACTGATCAATTTTCTCATTCTTATCTATGTTTTTTGTATTCTATATCCATCAATAAATTACGAATGAGGAAAATTATTGTATTGAGAAAAATTAGTTTTTCCTGTTTATGCGATGCATGAGAGAACATTTAAATTAGGGGTCAAAGATATGTAATGACCTGACATTTATATTTAACAAATAAAAAAATTCAATTATTTCCAGCAATATAAAACCAAAAAATGTTGCTATTTTAATTAAATTAGTTTTTTTTTATTCCTTTTTATATAACTATTTTTTATAAGTATTCGCTATATTACCCTCACAGAAAAAACCTGGGCTACTCATTTTGAAATGCAACAAAAATGAGCCAGGTTGGTGGCGCCACTGTCTATGTCGTTCAGCATTGGCTCATTTTGAGATGCAACAAAAATGAAACTATGTTTTTTCTGTGCTCGCTCTTATATGTTTTATTTAATATGATTATTTAAAATTTTTAATTCAACCTTAAATTAATTAAATTTTTCTATATACATTTTTGTTATCATTTAAATTATAGAGGAGAGTGGGGCGTGATTAATAAATTTTTTTGTATAAAAATGTTATTTAAATAGTAATAGTAGAATAAATAGTTTAATTTACGCATTGAGAATTGAATGAAAACAATTTTTAGAATGACATTTTTTGCTCAAAACTAAAAAAAAATATATATGGGCAAATCCACGAAACTTTTAACTTTTATGATTCTCGAATCGAACACTTAAAAATCTGAATTATTTTTTAATTAAAACTTTGGGTATCATTTTTTTTTTGCTAAATTATATACAAAGGAACATTTATGTACAGTATTATAGAAAAAAATATTTATTTGACAATTAGTTTTATAAGTTAAAAAGTAAAAATATGCTTAAATTTCATTTGAATTTCTTGAAAAAGTTTATATTCTTAACGTTTTTATTTTTGCGGCGTGTAAAATATCACTTCAGCTACTATGGAAATATCTAACAGACATATTTTGTCAACAAATTTTCAGTATCCCATTAGTGTGCCACCACTAAAACTAAAAATACGAATGTTCGATTGAGTGATAGCACTTTTTAAAAAAATTCAATTGAACATCTTCTTATGAAAATATCTATTAAGGCGTTGGATAAAAATAAAAGTTCAATGAATTTCTTAAAAGGTGATAAAAAAACAAAAATTTTAAGACCTTTTTCAATGATGTGCCTCTAATTTTATTCCTGTGGCAACAATTTAATGATGATAATAAAAATCGTGATTTCCTTTAAATTTATCCATTTTTGAAAGGCACAACTGCATTTTTGCTTTAAATAGGTCAATCTATGGTGTGATCGAAACATTTTCATACATATATTTGAAAACAAAAACGCCGCTTAAGGATTTTAAGTGTAATAAATTTTATTAAGTTAAGGATATGCTGAAAACACTTTTTTGAAGTCTTTACCCCCTCTTTTCTCAAAATCCTGACGTGCTAAGCAAATTTGGGTGCCAGAATCGTGTTCAGAGGACGAAAATACTTTGGAAACCACTCCGATATCAAAAATAAAAAAAGTTGAATTTTCCAATTTTATATTTAATTTATTATCATTAAGGAGTTTAAAGAGTTAAACATTGATGGCGTGAGCTAAAAATGAATCACGCATATGAATTTTTAATGCTAAAATGTACTTAAACGTGTATACAAAGTGACATCAGTGTGCCTGCAAATTAAAAAAAGAAATTTTTTTTCTTGAAAGTTAAAAGTTTCGTGGATTTGCCCATATAAAGTAGTTTTTTCATAAAAAATTTAAGTAGAAAATGTAATTTTTGACCGACAAAGTTTATTTTTAAATAAAGTTAAAGGCAATATTCACTTAGTAGTTTTTATAAACAAAATTCATTCAATGAATTCAGAAAAAAAAATGAGAAAAATTCATTCACAAATAGAAAAAATACATTTGCCATGCAGACTTTATTTATACATAAAAAGTATAGTCTTGTCAAAACGATAGTGATAGTTAGTTATTTTAAACAGTATACAGTAGCTACAAAAAAAAAATGCGAAGATAATTTTAGAAATAATTTTTAGATGTAGATACAAAATTTATGTATATATATTGGTAAATGTTTATCTAATGGCACTTAAATTTTGCGTGTTTGAAATTCTTTTTCCTTGACTATTTCTAAGAAAATATACATTTATGCAAGGTTTCCTTTTTATTTTAACTCATAAGAATAATTTTTTTTAACAACCATCTCCTATTAACATTTAAATTTAACATACAAGTTGTTCGATTTAAAACAAGATGTAAATAACATTATAAATGTTGTTTATCTGAATTTTTTCTCCTATTTTTTTTTTTTTTTTTGTAAAATTTATGAGAAAGGGGCGCGAGAAATTTAATGAATAAATAATGAGTTGAGCGTTTTCTTTTTCTGTTTTTAGTCCAAGAATAATTATGTGTGAGAAGAGCAGGGAAAAAAGGATTATATAAAAAGAGGGAAATACGTTTAAGGTTAAAATAAAAGAGAGTTCTCTGTTTAAAATATTATTTTTATTATTATGTTACGTAGAACTGCTTTTTATTCTTTTTCAATTGTTGAACATAAATACTTTGTATCTTCAAAATTATGTCTTAAGGGTATGTGGGCAAAGAATGTTTTTTTGTGGTTTGAAACTTTCTCTGAAATAAAAAATGATTTCGGGTTAAAATTTTGAAGAAATGATTTAGTTTGGTACAAGTAATCTCGCTGTTCTACTCATTTACTATAACTTAACGTAAAAATAATAAAAATAAAGCAATAAATAGTAATATAATGTGTTTTATCATAGTTCATTCAGCGGCCACTTCCTCGAATTGTCGCTGTTTACTGGAGCACTGACACACTCAAGCAACGTCTGTGTATGCGCCGCCATATTTGTTTTCATTTTCGTTTAAAAATCTCTCTCTCTCTCTCTTTCTATGAGAAACATCACTATTCCTTGTCGAGAACGTAATTTTTCATAATTAATTATTCAAAGTTTCTTCTAAAGTTTGAAACACGCTTTGAAACTTTGGAAAAGGGAAATGCATTAAATCGGCGAACCGAAACTTTACATAATTAGGGATAAATTTCAAACCAAATTTCGGTGAAACACTTCATTATATTTTCAGTAATGAACTATTGATTGTTTTGGAAAATGTCTTTAACAGCTGGAAAATATTGAATTTTATATAAACTTATAAATATCCGATTAAAATTGTCAATAAAATCAATGTTAATTTTGAAAATTGGTTTAACGAAAATTATTTTTAATTTTATTTACATACATTATTTTGATGTAAAAAAAAAAGAAGAATACATAAAAAAAAAAATGTAAAAGAAAATTTTCCTAGATTGGAAAAAGAAGAAAATGTAAAAAAAATGTATATCATGCATTTTGACATCCTTTGAGTAAACTTTAACGTGATAAGTTTGTGTAATGAAGTTGTGGTCCTGTGTGATATATAATGTAATCAAGTTGAGTGAGTATAGATGAAATATTACATTTCAGGATCAAATTTCAAGGTCACAAGCATATTTCCCTATGCAACAAGTTTATGCGATATATACTTTGTTCTTCTTTTTATATTATTCAATACACATATATAGCTAATCATTCATGCAAATTAAATATTTCGCATTAAAGAAAAAAAGTATTGTTTATTTTTAAAATTCAAAAAATATTTAGTTTATATAGAGCTTCAAAATGTGATCAAATAATTTTTTAAATGGATACATTATATTCTCCTGATGAACAATGTTATTAAATTGATTTAAAAAATGTCGAGCACAAGCATATATATATGATTACGTTAAATTATGTGTTTCTGTTTAAATAAATGAAGCGTATGTGATTGAGTTCTGTCGTCCAGTGTTGTTGCATGCAAATTATAACACGATTTTATCTCTTGACAACTTCATTCATTTAGAAAAAAATATATTTTTTAATTATTATTATTATTATTATTATATTTATAATAATGTTTATTTTTTCAATTTCTCTCCATTATATTTCTTAGGATGTTTATACATATAAGTAGTCTTATTTTTTTTTTAATGAAACTAAAATATGCTTTATACAAAATTAAAAATTAAATTAATTAATATTAATTAAATTACATAATCCAGAGAAATTATATATTTGGCTCAGTGCCAAATAAATATTTATTTGAAATAAATTTTTATTTGATTTGAATAAAAATTTTATTTATAACATGTAAAATTTTTTCTTTGCGTTAAATAAATGGTAGAGTAGGCCTGAGACAAATATACGTTTATTTAACTTAAGTATATATTATATTTGGTTCAAATAAAACATTTTTTTGGGTGTATTAATATTTTTTTTTACTATATTATCGTTTACTTACACTGAAAAAAAAATTATTCAATTCAAATAATCGGTTACTTGATATATTAACAAATAAATATTTATTTGAATTAAATAATTATTATTTAAGTCAATTAAATGGTGTTTATTTCAAATAGAAAAATTATTGGTTCAAATACCAGTTAATTGACTCAAATAATATAATGATTTAATAGAAATAAATAATTAAATCTGACGATGTTAATTATATATAAAAATCTACATTTAAAACAAATTTCATATACATATATGTGGTTTTATTAATTTCTGCGCCACATATGGATTTTTAACTAAATTTTATAGGTCAATTGTTATATATTTTTTTCTCTCGTGTCAAGGCATTATTTATCAGAGATTTTGTGGTACTTTTTAATTTAAAAAAAAATAAAAAAAATAATATAGTGAAATATTTCTATATATGCATCGTAGTCAGCGATTTAAAACGTGTATCTTCATTTTTTCTTTTTTAATTTTTGAAATTTTTCCTTGGATTTTTAAAACTATATATCGATCGATATAGAATATCAGCCAACAAGATTTTAATCAAGCTTTTGAAACCCTAGCTGTTATGCACGCTTGACCTGGAAAATATGCTTTGACACTTGCAGATAAAAACAATCTGTAGATGATGGGAACTCTTAGAATTTATTTGGCCTTTTTCGAAAGAAAAA